CTGGTTTTAAGGGATACGGCAATTAAAGGGTTAATCCAAACCATCAAGACTGTGAAATACACAGAACAATATATATAACTTTAGTAACGCTTTACAATAAGGTTTCAGTTATTAACATGAACTATATTAATGAACATGAACAATAATTATATAGCATGTATTAATGTCAGTTAATATTCAAAACTTAAACATTAAAAAAATTGTTAACACTTTATAATAACTGCACACTATGAATCATTAGTTAAGCATTAGTAAATAGTCAATTCATCCTTTCTAAAGCATTGTTCCAACATTAATAGGCATTAGGAAGCAGTTTATAAATACAGCTATAAATGTTTTGTTCTTGAGCATATCTATAATGTTTAATAATTGTATTTTTATACTTTATTAATGATCAATTTATCATTTCTAAATTATTACTTTATTTACAAACCAGTTATTTAGGAGTTCATATGATCATTTAGAAAGTGTAAGTAAATGATTAATAAACTATTTAAATGTACATTTATAAATCTTATTATTTAGACACACGATAATAGTTGCTCAGTGTATTAATGAATGCTTTATTAACACATTCCTGCTGTAATTCATGATTAGGTCAGGTAGTTATAAAACATTTAGTAGTTGCCAGACAGCTATTTTTGTGAGCTCATCTAAAGTGAGGACTGTTTATACCTGGTCAAGCATTTACAAAAAGGAGATTTAAAAGCTCATTAATCTTCCAAACAGAAAAGTTAATCAAACACAACACAGAGGGATACAGAACACAAAAATATTTTCTCAAGATTGAAAAAATGAAACTGTACAACTGTTCACTTGATAAAAAGAAAAGAAAAATAAACCTGCAATTCCATATAAATTTTTTATTTTTTTTTTGCATCTTGAAATAAATATTTCTGAGTTCTGTATCCCTCGGTGGTGTTTGTTTATTTTTTCTATTCAGTTTACAGCACACTTTTTGAGCTGCTTGTAATCGAGGGTTAATGGTGTGCTCTTTATTCACAGTGTACTCTTTCGACGGCATTCTTGTATTTGGGCTTCTTTTCATTTGCACGTGTGCATACCTGAAGAAGGTCCCTCGTCTGAACAGCTGGCTCTTGTCTGAGAAGAAGGGTGTCTGGGGAGTCTTTTACAAAGGTAAGCCATCTGTCGGATCTGTAATGAAGCTCATGGCGTTGCAGTGAGGTTTCATGCGCTGTGTGTTTTCTCTTTTCTCTGTAGCTGCAGTAATAGGCACACGGCTCCACATTGCTGTGGCGGCGTCCTGTATGTGTATGGCATTTTACCTGATTTTTCTGAAGTGACCCGGATGAATCGCTCTCTCTGGACACTGGACTCTGAACGCCTGTAGAAATGCAGTGCTGGCGAGTATCGCTGGAGGAGATGCACAGAGAGCCGACTCCACCTGCGGTTTAACACCGATTTAAGACCTGCTTTACATTTCTGTAAATGTTTAACTTAAGATTAGATTTCGGGTGAATTCGGTCTTAGATCAGGGTTAAACTGTAATACCTGCCGAAAATGAAGAACTTATTATGGATTCAAACTTCTTTTGCTTGGGCTTAGAGGGGTAAAGTAAAGGCAGAAACAATGTTATCTTGTACAATTTTTGAATACAAGTTTTTTTTTTTTTTTTTTACAAAAATGTCATTTATTGAGAGCTGTTTTAGGTTTAGGTGTCATGAATGGCTTATGTCATTATTCAAATTACCCCAAATGTTTATAATAAACATAAGACCTATTGTTTGCAGCATGGGACAAATTATGAAAAATGTTCCATAGACTTCATGGAAACCTTCCCATTCAAATAGGCAAACTAGTAATGCTACTAGGTCGAAACAGAGCATTATTTTTTGATTCCACATATATAGTTTAATTGTATGATATATGTAAAAGCAAACCTTCTTGATCAACACCATATGATTTCATTGTGAAGGCGTGTCTGTTTGGTTCGGTTTGATAAATACACAGCTAACCGGGCTTACATAAAACTACAATAAACATATAGACGTCAACACTTTTCTGAATGGTCCTGCTATCATATTATATGTGGATGATATGATATAATTGGGAAAATTCTAATCGTTTTGGGAAAATACACTACAAGTTCAATCTTTAACGTATATAAATTAGAGGGTTAATTTCACTTTTTCAACTCTTAAGTCAAGAGTTAAGATTTCTGTAATACAGTCCTATGATATTTTTTTTGTGTTGATGCATTTTTGTCTATTACAAACATTACAAACATGTAGATTCCAGGATGCTCTTTTGTATTTAAGCATTCAAATGCATGTCGTATCTGTTATATATATATATGTACACACACATATGCATGTGTGTATATATGTTATAATTTGTTGTTATTACTTAGTATGGATATAAGTAATCAAGCATCTTATATAAATGAAAATCATACCTAAAAAAATCTATTATAAAAAAAAAAGATACGTTTGTAATATGCAAACAATCGCACAATTGGTTGTTATTGTGTACAAAGGCAATAAAATAAATAAAAATGTAAACTTCATTCAAATTCATTTGTGGATATAACTTACTGAACATCTATGAAAAGACGATCATACAAATGATCTGTTATAAAATATAATTATTCTTTATAAGTCATATAAACTAATGAAATACATATAAATCAGCTGAAAAAAATCATATCAGCAATCTGTCATTCTGACTCCAGAAAAACTACCTTATGAGGAAAACATAAAAAAAAGTTGAAAGCCCCGTTTGAATTGGAGTAAAGCTTTAGTGGAGTGGGTTGTTGCTCTGACTCATAACTCCTGCATTAAGTGTTCTCCTCACCACTGCGCTTGGTTACCCGTGCTTGTGAGGACTCCTGCTAGAAAGAAAGCTCTTCTAAATATTACATCATTTACTCAAAACTAGTGGTTTTCCTTCAACACCTAGATTTGACATTGGACATCAAGTGGTGACCCAACGCTTTACCTAAGCTCTGCAGGAAATCCATTGATTGTGCTCATATCTGTGTGTATTCGACTAATGCAAGGTTAAATAAGAGCAAAAATGTGTGGCATGTAGTTTGGGGCTTTCTAGAAGGAAAAGCCAGCATTTCTTTGCATGCTGCTGACATCAAGGACGGGCCTCGATATGTCTGGAGGAGTGTCGTCTCCAGTCTCTTTCGTTTTCCTGGACAGCCCCTAAAAATGTGGGCGGATCCTGTCCGTCCTCTGTCAGAGATAGAAATAGAACTCCATTGTGTGTGTTCCCAGGACGTTTCAGTCTGGTAAATCAAGCAGGTCAAGTGTGTTCACCGTCAATCATTCCTGCTCCTGCATGAAGCTGCAACACGTGTTTCTAGCCATACAGGAAGCACTCTGTCTGTCATGCTGATGAATATAAAGCCACTTCATCAAACCCTGACATGAGAAGTGTAGTCGTCCTACAGGCGTTTCAAGAGATATTTTCAATTCAGTGAACAATAGGCAGCAATTTGTGTTTCAGACAGACATTTAAACATATCTTTTTCTTTATTAAACGAGTAGTTCGCTCACCAAGCAAAACGTGTAACTGAATCTGTATGTAACAGCACTTTTGCTCAAGATGTTCTGGAATCCAGTCTGTTTTTGTTCTCCTTTGGTTTCCCGCCCACTACGAGCGATCTTGGAACAGGAGAAAATATAGACGCGTTCCAAAAATCAGCTTCAGTCAACTCTGCTGACCTGGACTGCTGTAAAAGACGAGTGGAATGACATAAACAGTGAAACGCCTTAGAGCTGTTATATATTAGATTCCCATTCATTTTTTCCATAGGGATTTCCATATTTTCCATAAGTCCTCGTTTAAGCCATGAATCACACCAACCAGCTACGAGGTCAGTCTCAACATTATTACAAACTTACGTTTGGAGCGAAAAGTATTTGAAAATCGGGCAAAAAGTCAAGGGCACAAGGGTTTAACTGATGGAAGCATTGTAATTAAATAAATTAAAACCCATAGATAAATATAAAACTATTGATTTTGAATAGAAATGTGAATAGATGTTGAATAGAAATAACATTTTACATTTATTGCGCAATATGCATATTTAGACCTTATGTAGCTCCGCCCCTTTTCAGCGCTGCGCTCGTTTGTATTTCCACAGCGTGAAAGTAAGGTCATACGAATTTATGAATGAAGCGCCGTTTTAAAGCCTTCTAAAGCTACTGACATTTGTTATGACATCGGCCTCGAACATTACAATGCAAATGATAACTCTCGTTAACTCTACAATAACTTGTATAAAAAGTCAATAATTCATAAAAGTAATCTATTATATATATATATGTACACACACATATGCATGTGTGTATATATGTTATAATTTGTTGTTATTACTTAGTATGGATATAAGTAATCAAGCATCTTATATAAATGAAAATCATACCTAAAAAAATCTATTATAAAAAAAAAAGATACGTTTGTAATATGCAAACAATCGCACAATTGGTTGTTATTGTGTACAAAGGCAATAAAATAAATAAAAATGTAAACTTCATTCAAATTCATTTGTGGATATAACTTACTGAACATCTATGAAAAGACGATCATACAAATGATCTGTTATAAAATATAATTATTCTTTATAAGTCATATAAACTAATAAAATACATATAAATCAGCTGAAAAAAATCATATCAGCAATCTGTCATTCTGACTCCAGAAAAACTACCTTATGAGGAAAACATAAAAAAAAGTTGAAAGCCCCGTTTGAATTGGAGTAAAGCTTTAGTGGAGTGGGTTGTTGCTCTGACTCATAACTCCTGCATTAAGTGTTCTCCTCACCACTGCGCTTGGTTACCCGTGCTTGTGAGGACTCCTGCTAGAAAGAAAGCTCTTCTAAATATTACATCATTTACTCAAAACTAGTGGTTTTCCTTCAACACCTAGATTTGACATTGGACATCAAGTGGTGACCCAACGCTTTACCTAAGCTCTGCAGGAAATCCATTGATTGTGCTCATATCTGTGTGTATTCGACTAATGCAAGGTTAAATAAGAGCAAAAATGTGTGGCATGTAGTTTGGGGCTTTCTAGAAGGAAAAGCAAGCATTTCTTTGCATGCTGCTGACATCAAGGACGGGCCTCGATATGTCTGGAGGAGTGTCGTCTCCAGTCTCTTTCGTTTTCCTGGACAGCCCCTAAAAATGTGGGCGGATCCTGTCCTAGCGGTGTCCTCTGTCAGAGATAGAAATAGAACTCCATTGTGTGTGTTCCCAGGACGTTTCAGTCTGGTAAATCAAGCAGGTCAAGTGTGTTCACCGTCAATCATTCCTGCTCCTGCATGAAGCTGCAACACGTGTTTCTAGCCATACAGGAAGCACTCTGTCTGTCATGCTGATGAATATAAAGCCACTTCATCAAACCCTGACATGAGAAGTGTAGTCGTCCTACAGGCGTTTCAAGAGATATTTTCAATTCAGTGAACAATAGGCAGCAATTTGTGTTTCAGACAGACATTTAAACATATCTTTTTCTTTATTAAACGAGTAGTTCGCTCACCAAGCAAAACGTGTAACTGAATCTGTATGTAACATTTCCAAAATGGAATCTGTATGATTCCATTTATTGCGCAATATGCATATTTAGACCTTATGTAGCTCCGCCCCTTTTCAGCGCTGCGCTCGTTTGTATTTCCACAGCGTGAAAGTAAGGTCATACGAATTTATGAATGAAGCGCCGTTTTAAAGCCTTCTAAAGCTACTGACATTTGTTATGACATCGGCCTCGAACATTACAATGCAAATGATAACTCTCGTTAACTCTACAATAACTAAATCCACTTCACCAGCGAATTACTCTTCATCAGTGACTATAGAGCTGCCGCAAAAAATGGATGTTCAGACATAATATTCTAAAAATGGCTGTGTACTCGTTTCTCTGACGCATAATAAGGTTTATGTGCAATTATTTAAGTAAGTTGCGAGCCGTGTACGGGCACTAAAGTGTTCTTTTGGGATGTTTTGCTTGTTTCGCTTCTCTGATTGGTGGAGATTTCTTTGCAGAATCATGGGTAATGTAGTTTTCCACCTGGAATTCCAATGTTAAACTTTATTTAAAAAAAATAAGCTGAAATAATGCAGGCTGATGGCTTCAACAGAAGCATGTATCATAGATGAACACCCTGGCTCACTGTAGGTTTATAAGTTACTGCTAAAAATCTGTTTCCTTGCGCCGTGTCTACACCGGACGCGACAAAGCGATCGTTGCAAATCATTTGAACTTTGTGTCAGTACATCATAAATAGAACAAGGCATCGGTTTACTGTCTGGGATTTGTCATGACGTGTCGCAACCAGTGTAGACGCTCGCGTCCGGTGCAGACATGGTGTTATCCAAATTGAGGATCAGACATATAGGTTACCACTATAATGCTGGTCAGTCGATCTGTTGAGATTGTTAGAGGTGTGTTTTGTGGGTGCAGCAGTGGTATTCCTAGTCTGTGAGATGCACAGAAATGTCATGAATTGTCATGTGTGTTTGCAAAAGCCCCACATTGTTCAGGTCTTGTTGTTTGACAGAATAGACATGGATTCTGCCGGAAGGCTCTGACTGCGGCGCTCTGGAAGTTTGGGGCTTTCTCTTGGAGCGGCTGGATCAAAGAGAAAATCCATCTGTAAAACACAGAGTCATTATATGAGTGAGGAACAGAGGTGTTTATCATCCGCGTGAAGAGCGTGATGTACGATAGAATCAGCAGAGTGAAAGCACAGTGTCTGTTTCTTCTTCACTCATTTAATTGAAGCTGTTTGTGACGTATGGTGCAGGGCAGAGGGAACACAGCGACTGACTGACTCATGGTGCTCTTCATTGGAAACCCCGTTGGCCTGCTTCAGGCCTGTTTTGCTGGGGTTTGTTTTTCTTGCTCTGCCACGAGTTCTTCATGATCTAGGCGAGGTCGAACTGAAGCCACAACTATCTCCCTGGTCATTGCTTTGAAGGCATATTCCATATTCAGTGCAAAAATAGTTTCAGTTTACGGTAATGCGCTTTGTCATGTTGCCTTCCATTGTAAAGACGCTTCTCTGTAGATGCGTTTTTCTTTTTCTTTTTATAAACGGAAATGAATGAGTCAAATTATTTTTGGTAGTATTTAAAATTTACATGACATATTACATAAGTGATTCCGGCTGATCACACATGTCCTTTTCTCACTGAGTGATGACGTATTTTTGTAGGCCAACTGGGAAGTTTGCTTCACAAAAACCCAATAGGATATTTCCAATGGCTTTTAAATTATTGAGTTAGAATAGTTTGCAAAAGTACGATTATAAGCACAAATATAGGCTAGTTGCAAGAGGTGATTATCTGGGTCAAAGCACCAATCGTTCAATAGGTGATAAAACTGCCATGTATCTTTTCAGATATTATGTGTTTGTACTGCGAAGTCAACACAGTCTGGAATCTCCGCTGATACTGAACAGCTTAGAAAAACGCATGATAGTTCCAAAAACAATGCGGAAATATTCAGGCATTCACATTGATGGAAAAATATGCAAAGAAGACCTAAAAGGATCTCATCTAGTGGACAACATAAGAATTACAGCCATCATCTGCCATTCATATTGAGAAAATGCTGAAATTTGATTGGCTGCCGGTGGATAGGCTTGCTGCGATAGACGGTGTTTTCAGTTATACCGGTGTTAAGCCGCAACACTGGTTATTATTAAATGCATAAATACACATATGTGTGTGTGTGTGTGTGTATATATATATATATATATATAAAAAGAAACAAAAATTTACAAAATTGTATGTACAGGTGTGCTATAGATGGAATAGAATAGAGTAAGATGTAGGGATGGACTAAGATAGGTGGTATCAAATAAATATAAGTGGTATTGCACAATGGGGAGAGCATTTAACTGCTCATGAGGTAGATTGCCTGGGGAAAGAATCTTAATTTTTTTGTGCCTGGATGTCCTGGTGTTCGGTTCTCTGTAGCACCAACTAGATGGCAAAAGTTCAAGAGGGGGGTGGCTTGGATGTGAGGGATCCAGAGTGATTTCCTGAGCCTTTTTCCTCACTCTGGATATATACAGTTCTTGAAGGGTGGGCAGACAGTTATTGAAGTGCACAGGACAGACTCAATGACGGCTGAGTAGAGCTGTGTGAGCAGCTCCTGTGACAGGTTGAACTTCCTCAGCTGGCAAAGGAAGTGCAAACTTTGTTGGCCTTATTAACAATGGAGTCAATGTGATTATCCCACTTCAGGTCCTGAGAGATGGTGGTGCCCAGGAACCTGAATGACTCTACTGCTGCCACAGTGCTGTTCATGATGGTGAGTGGGGGGAGTACAGGAGGGTTTCTCCTGAAGTCCTCTATCATCTCCACTGTTTGAGCGTGTTGAGCTCCAGGTTGCACCAGACAGCCAGCTGCTCGACCTCGCTTCTATAAGCAGACTTGTCACTGTCCTGGATGAGGCCGATGACTGTAGTGTCAGACAGGAGTGTCAGACAGGAGTTTGACAGAGGGGTCAGCAGAGGTGCAGTCATTGGTGTACAGGGAGAAGAGCAGTGAGGAGAGGACGCAACCCTGAGGGGCGCCAGTGCTGATGGTTTGGCTGTTTGACATGAACTTCCCCAGTCTCACTATCTGTCAGAAAGCTAGTGATCCATTGGCAGATGGAGCTAGGAACAGAGAGCTAGGTTAGTTTGGTCTGGAGGAGTGTTGGGATGATGGTGTTAAAGGCCGAAATTAAGTCCACAAACAAGATCCTCACATAAGTCCCTTTCAAATGACTTCATGACCGCAGATGTTAAAGGTGACATATCATGAAAATCTGACTTTTCCAGGTTTTAAGTGCTATAATTAGGTCCCCGGCATCTACCAACCCAGGAAACGTGAAAAAGATTAACCCAGTAACTTTGTTTTGGTAAGCCTTTTTCTTCAAGCATCTGAAAAACGAGCGTCTCCGATTTCGCTCCCTTTGTGACATGGCAAAGGGATCTTATTATAATATCACCGCCCCTTTATCTGCACGTTTCCACTTACGGCGCCGCCATTCTTGTTTTTCGCAAGCAACAACGGTGTACCAGCTCTAATGCCATGGCAAAAGTTTTAGCAGAGCATGCTAACTGTTCTGTCTTTGGCTGCACAGACGAGCACAGAACACTATTTAGAGTCCCAGCCTCAGAGGAGACAAGAGAGCAGTGGATTTATTTATTTACTGTATATTACACTGCTGCCACACAGATCTAATATAAACATGCGATTTCTTTCCCAGCTGTTTACCTTTACAGACATGGCAGACTGTTTTTGTAACTCGTGTGTTTTTCACATAAACTTTTGTGATTGCTGGAGGTGTTAAGGCCCCGATATTCTTCAAGCGAAATCGAAGAACGAACTGATGTGACATCATTTCGAACAAAATCTGTCCAAAACTAAGTTTGTTCTGTGTTCGTTTTGGGAGTTCGAAATGGCTTGCCAAAGCGAACTTTCTGGAAAAGTGCGTTCCGGCTGCAAAACACCTTCGTACTACCATTGGTCCGTGACGATTACGTCATAGGAGGTGTGCACTGAGGCTCCGCCTTCTTTCACACAAAACTTTTCTCCGGGTTCATTTCATCTGTCGAAACCTTGGAGGTGAGATGTCCGTGGATAAAAACTGAACACAGTGAAGAGCCACTTTATAGTAGCATATTAAGTTTTGCTTTTGATGAAATCAGACACTGACACTGTTTTTCATGTTTAATACTGCGGATTGCTTTTAAGCAATATATTGAATAAAGTGTCATGTAAATACATGTGACGTGACTTCACGGGAGTGCTAATTTGCAGAGCTTGTACAAGCATACCCATGTTGCTATGAAAAGATGCTTTTTATTAAAAATGATTGCTGTTCTCTCCATTTTTGATGTGTTTATATTGTTACTGAGAGGAAAGCGCGCAGCACATATTTACATATTCATATAAACGTTGCTTTCATCAGAGTGGGCGGCGTCGGGAAGTTCAATAACACTATACCACTGCTCACGTATTTCAAACTTTGTTTTACCCCTAAACGAAGAATGAAAAAGAACTTCGTTTTGAGTATATTGGGGCCTTAATGGTTGTGTAGAGAGTTGGTCTGCGTGGGTTTGGGGTGTAAGACCGGGAGTTTCAAATCTACAGTAAAACTCATTCATGTCTTCAAGTTGTTGATTCGCCTCAGTGCTGGGGGACGGTCTTGTAGTTTGTAGTGTCTTTCAGGCCTTTCACACTGAAGCAGGGTCGTTGGCTGAAAAGTGGTTTTCCAGCTTCCTCTCAGCTACTCTAATCTCCTTATTCAGTATGTTCCTGGCCTGATTGTGCAAGATTCTGTCCCCACTTCTGTAGGCATCCTCTTTGCCCTGACGAAGCTGTCTGAGTTTTGCTGTGAACCATGGCTTATCATTGTTGTATGTTAAATAAGTCCTGGTAGGAATGCACATATCCTCACAGAAACTGATATATGAATGTTACAGAATCTGTGAGCTCATCCAGATCAGTGGCAGCAGCTTCAAAAACACTCCAATCAGTGCAGTCGAAACAGGCTTGTAATGCCCACTCTGTTTCATTGGTCCATCTCTTTACAGTCCTTACTAGAGGCTTAGCAGATTTAAGATTGTGCCTGTATGTTGGGAGAAGATGAACCAGGCAGTGGTCAGAGAGGCCTAAAGCTGCTCTGGGGACGGAGCGATATGCATCCTTTATTGTAGTGTAGCAGTGGTCCAAAATATTTTTGTCTCTGGTGGGGCATGTAATGTGTTGTTTGAATTATGGCAGTTCACGTGTGAGGTTTGCTTTATTGAAGTCCCCGAGAATGATTATAACAGAGTCCGGGTGTTGTTGCTACAGTTGTTGCTGTGTCTGCGATCTGATCACGTGCGCTTACGGAATGTAAACCACTAACCAGAATGAACGAGGAAAATTCTGCACAACTGTTTTCAACATATATAATAATCAGAATTGCATTTTTACAATATTACTGTTTGCAATGCATTTTTATCAGATAAATGCAGCCTTGGAGAATAATTGAGATGACTTTATAAAAAAAATCTTCCCCCAAAATTTTGAACGGAAGTGTAATTAATGGTTGCCGCTTTGCCCAAAACACTGTCTGTCAGCCAAGGTTGGCCAAAGTTTACAAATGTTACTGTGGGTAGAAGTGCAACAACAGTTTAACCAGTATGTAATTCACCCACTCCTCCTCTTGCAGCGAGAGAGAGAGAGATAAAGGTAATGCCCACACAAAATCTAAATGAGAGTTTCACAGAGGATGCAACACATCTCACTCTGTGTGCCGTTTCCTCTGAGATGAACCGCAGTGGGCCGCATGCTCACCAACATCAAGAAAACAACGGCAGTCATGACAGATGATGTACAAGTACAGCTTATTTTCTTGTACATGTGTTTAAAGTGCAGAATTGTACATCAGTGTTATTTTATTAACAATGAGATACTTTTATAGATTTTATTAATAGTTTGAATTCGGGATGTCCCGAGCCGATCTCAGGGCCGAATTAGCTTTTTTTTTTTACTGATCGGTATCGAATATTCTAATCGCGGGATTTTGTGTTTAACGTATTTGATGAACACTTTTGTAACAATTCACTTGAAAATTGTTTATTTACAGTTTATTGTTATCTATCTGAGATGTCGTTGTCATAATGCGTTGCTATGGGTTGTGTCTTGCTTCGAACTTGACTGGCATTCTGGCATTCGCTAGCTTCATACTTTCTAACCTTTACTCCACTTTTTATATATATATATATATATATATATATATATATATATATATAATTACTGTAGTAATTGTTATTTTTATATTTGAAGTTCAATAGATATCATATTGTTATATACTTAGAGATTACATATATATAATTTTTACATTTGAGCCTCTGTCCCTGAGAAACTCTCTGCACATCTCTGTATAAACTGGATTGATTTTAATAACTTTTTAACTTTAATGTATTTGAAGTGTGCAATAAGCGTTCAGAAAATACAAGTATCTAAAAACCTGATTTGGACATCCTTAGTTTGAAGTTTCAATTTTTTTTATTTTCTGTTTTTATTAAATTTTTTAATTGTTAATATTTAGTTTTTTATTTATAATGTCTGTATAGTTTATTTCATTATTAGTTTTAGTTATTTTATTACATCGTTAAACTAAATGAAAATGGGAAATGTTTCCTTGAGAACTAGCTGAATTAAAGTATTTTATTCGTTTGCTTTTTTTTTCTATTTCAGGTAACTTTTTTTTTTCATATGGAAGCCCATTTCCACCACTGATTAAAAAAGAAAAAAGTTATTGTGACTTTTTATGTCACAATTCTGACTTTTTTTCTCGCAGTTGCGAGTTTACATCTCGCAATTCTGACTTTTTCTCGCAGTTGTGAGTTTACATCTCGCAATTCTGACTTTTTCTCGCAGTTGCGAGTTCTGAAGTCAGAATTGTGTGATATAAACTAAAGTCCAATTCTGTGGGGAAAAAATACTATTTTCTTACAATTGCGAGTTTATATCTCACAATCGTGAGAAAAAGTCAGAATTGCGATATAAAAAGTCACAGTTACTTTGCTTTATTTTTTATTCAGTGGCGGAAATGGGCTTCCATAATTTCAAGTACATTTTTTTTTTTAAATTTTTATTGTTTGGTTTAAGTTTTAGTTAACTAAAATAACTCTGGTGCACACTCAAGGAATTGAACAAAAACAGTTTAGACTTTAAATGATTTGACCTTAACCTTATAATGTTGTCATGTTTCAGACTAATTTTCTATGACACTTGTCTTTGTTGCAGGTAATTGGTCTACTAGATGTTTTCACGCCCGCTACCTGTCTATCAGGATTCAATGACGTGTGAGTATTTGGTTTATTTCTAGAAGGTGGTCTGACTTAAGTTCCCAGATTGTCAACTTATCTGTTTTCATCCCTGCATCAAAAACGTTCTTCTAGGAAATGTTGTTGTAAAAGGTTGCATGTTGTATTATGGGTTGCATGTCTGTGGTTTCTGAGCCATACTGAGAAACAGAGTAACAGCTGATATGTAGTGGCACACTCCAGTAATTACTCTGGCGTAGCTGCCACACCTCAGTAGCGTGCGGTAATTATTCAAAGTGTAGGTGTCTCCAGTGCACAACCCTGCATTACTCAATAAAATCTTAATTAGACATAGTCCTGATTGTGCGGTGTGTGCCCACTGTGTGGTGAAGGACCGGTTAAACCCGGTTACGTTCAAGTGCCTTGCATCCAGCTGTCAGTGCGATAATCGAAAAGCAGCACCTGTCGAGTTCTGCTCTGGGAGGGGTGAGGAACATCGTGGCTGCACACGTGTTGGGAATATCCGTAGTTACCATGGCAACACGGATTCATCCGCTCAGCATAATTTCCTCATAGGCACATATGCAATAACCTTCAAAATGTTATTGCCTTATAATATAACTGCCTCTTAAAACAATTAACACATACAAAATAGAATAAGAGCACATTCAGGGAATTATAGAAAAAAATTGGTTGCCTTGGCAATAGTTTCATATGAGCTGTTGCAGTTATGAAATTTTGGGTGATAAATGGTCTTACTAATAATTATAATTATCTCTTTTGTACATGTTACTTGCATTGTAAGCTTAATGCACACATATACCTTAAGAAGAAGACTTTGCAAACATGTATAATCCTGGGGTAGAATATATCATGATTAATTATCATTAGTAAATAATATAATGACTATAATTTTGAATACAATAATATTTTTTCAAACTTCAGTTTCATTTTTGGAGTTCAACATTTTATATGATAATTTAGTTAGGATAACTCTAATATGTTATTTTTGTTGTGAATGCTGGAATGTGTAGAATGTACATTTCTTAAATTCTTCAATGTCACATATAATTTTTATGGTGGTCTGACTTCTAAAAAAACATACCGTTATATTATACCGAAATGTTGTGTTCGCAATATATTTTAAGCTATGTTTATTAAAGCTCTCAACAATATCTGCAATTAGATTGAAAAAATGCAATCATTGCAATTGTGCACTTGTATTGTATTGGACCATTCAATGTTATAAACCTCATAATAAGAGGTTATAAATAAGATTCCAATCAGAAAATCAACCAAAGAACTATCTTTTCAGAGCTGAGTTAATGCTGCTCTGTGCCTGCTCAAAAATGTGTAAAGATGTAATGCAGCATAAAAGCCAGATTAAATTATGCCACTTGTAATTATTGTGTAAATGCATTTATGCCACCTCTAAGCAGTATTAAACAGTCTGTGTGAAGGGTAAAGACACCTAAATGTCACTAAATAACACCTAAGAGCTGTGCTAAGGCTGCTCTGTGCCTGCTTAAAATTTTGTAAAGACACAGCGTAAAAGCCAGATTACGTTATGCGAGTTGTAATTACTAAATAAATAAATTTTTCCACCCCTGAGCAGCATTAAGCAGTCTGCGTGAAGGCACCTAAATCCCACTTTGTAGAGTACATTTGGCAGTGATTTACAAATGCGAAGTGAAATTTTGAAACCTGACTTCCCTTGACTACTAACCACAGAGTCAGGTTTGAACAGCGTGAAACGTGGACGATTCTGGGTGTGACACCCTCTTTTACTCCGTAAAAGTCCAATGTAAAATCTGTGTCATTGACGCAAAACTGCTATCATATAGATCCATCGTAGCTAATAGACATAAAAGTCCCATTTTTATTTCATGGGTTCTTTAAGGACTGCTCTCATTTGCTGTCCAAATGTGAGCCCAGTCTCAGTATAGTTCATTTAAATGGGTGAGAGCCGTTTGAGGTCATGACTTGTAGGAGCGATTCCCAGGAACAAGAGCTCCAGTGTGAGTTGTGTTTGGCTGCAGAGAGCTGGAAACAGGAGCTGGAATTTCTACACACAAGCACTGCAAGATGCATGGAAACAAGAGCTAAGAATACTATAATATTCCTATAAATACCCCGGCCCCAAAATCTCATGGAGAATGAGTGGGAGAGCAGAGCTCGGGGCAAGAGGGAGGAGCACGTTTGGCAAGAGATATTTCTGAACTGCATGCATCCATATACTTTAGTATCTACTATGCAAACCTCTCTGACGAAGTGCTCGCCTTTAATGGAAGGCATTTTCACTACCATAAGGTTGCTTCACCGAGCATGTTTGCCTCGAGTGTTGCGAGAGTGCAGAGCAGCAAAGCGCTCATGATTGTTAAGGTTAATGATAGCGCTCGTGGCCGGGTCAGACAAGTGCCGCTTGGATTCCTTTCACCACTCAGCAGAGCTTCCAGTAGGCCGCCTGTGCCCAGCTGGCTCTGCACCAGACGCATTCCACTGTTCCCATCTGTGCGCCAACAAGCTTGATTGGTTGTGCTGGATGTCAATCAAGACTAGTGATCCACTGAAATGACCAGAATTAAAAATTTAGACCAGAATTTGAAGTTTTCATTTAGCCAAAAAACAAAAATTATATTATCAACTCTCAAAATAAAAAGTTGTATTTAAACATTTAAATCGCACATTAGACAGTTTTTTTTCCCTATCAACTTTTTAATGGTATAAAGTAGTGATGCACCAAGAATTCGGCAACCAAAAATCAGGGCCGAAATCAGGAAAATAATAAGCACAAAAAAAGAAGGAAAAAAATCACGTTTCATGTCTCATGTAATTGTGCAATCAGTGTTTCAACTACAGAAAGACGTCAATAAAACAGCTTGCAAACAATGTGTCACGTGACATTACATTTACCTCAGGAAAGCCATTCAATGACGGTAAAAACGATAGTCAACGAGACAAAAATCACTCTTGAGAGGAGCATTTTGAGGTAAATATAACATTGTCACACTGTTTACAAGCTGTTTTATTGACATCTTTTCACAATTGAAACACTGATTGAGCAATTACATGAGACATGATCCATTTCAGTAAGTTGTACTGTTTCTTTGAGTTGCATACCCTCTGAAGTTCATTCATGTTTATTTAGTGCTGTAACTAGTAGTAAAAAGGAGGAGATGATCGGTTCACGTGCCGCTTGAACTGAGGCGACTACAGCAGTCTTGTCACGCCACATTAAAAAGCATCAAATTCCACATTTAATGTTTGAATTTCATTATAAAATTGACTGAATTTGAAAGCTCAGAATTTGTCAAATCAAAAGTAACAAAGCACACAGCTGTATTTCTGTTAGTGGATGGTAGGCATGAAGTTTTGTTCACTCGACTGAAAATAGCTTAGACTAAAATCTTGGTTCCTCAAAATGAAGATCAATTCAAATTGAGAAATCGATTTTTTTATTCTAATCCCCACCCCTTTTACCCTTTGGCTGCTCTGTGGCGACTTCGGGACCTAATGCTACGAGACACACTAAACAGTTTTAAGTTAATGCTGTACTAATGCAATGAATTTTATATCCCAGTTGTGTGGTTATAATGATTGCTTGAGTATAAATTCTGCTGTCCTTCAAAGCTTTAGTTTACTTCTGAAAAAGTTAATTCAGGGTAACAGTGAAGCTTCCATCTGTGAAGTTGCTGTGTCATGACGACTTTGTTTAACAGGTATCTGGTGACCCACCTCATGGGAGCAGACCTCAACAATATCGTCAAGTGCCAGAAGCTGACAGATGATCACGTCCAGTTCCTCATTTATCAGATCCTACGAGGATTGAAGGTTAGGCCCCACCCACTGTTTTCATTTTTACTTTGTTGTAATTGCTAAATGTAATGGGAGCTGAAAGGAATATTTATACATACATACTGAAAGCTTGTATTAAGATCTGCCTCCATCCAATCAACCGATGGACAGTAGGGGTGTGCACAAATAGTCAAATATTCGATCTGTAATTATTATTTGAAAAATAAAAACACCATTCGAGTTTTCTACGTGTTGCTTTGCTGGCCGTAAATGCAGAGAATCCATGATAAATCCTAAGCACACAAACTAGAAGTCAGTTATAACTAAATGCACTGGGTGGCGCTGTGGAGCGTGTTAACAAGTTGATTGTATTTGATCACAGAATGTAGTCATCTGACTTGTGAAGTTTGGAATTACTTTGATCAAAATGATCTTACTGAACAACCCTCTACGCACACCTTTGTAATATGATCGCCATTGGCTAGTAAATTTGTACGTGTATGTACATTTTGTACTGTAATTGGCACGGTCTGCTTTATTTTTTCAGTTCTCATGCATTAATAAAGCATTAACGCAAATAAATTTTTAACGGCACTAATTTTATTAACGCGCGATTAATGCAGCACACATTTTCTGTTTCAGGGTTGCCACGGGTCCTTAAGTCTTAAGAGGTCTTAAATTTAGTTGTATCATATTTAAGGCCATAAAAAGTCTTAAATGGTACAAGAAAATCTTAATTATGGTTCCAGGAGGTTTTAAATTTGGGGAGGGAAAGACAAGAATTGCGATAAGGCTTAATGTGACGATTTAACTTCAAAAGGCGATGATTTCATTGAATAAATATGAGAGCTGCACATTTCAAAGTCAGCGCTGCTTTGTTTACAGAACGGCTATATTTCTGCCATTCCGACAGCGCCATCTGCTGGCAGAGAATGAATTAGCATTTTCAATAAGCCCGTCTGCTGTTTTTGTTCAGACCGATGCGAACATCCACCCATGTTTTTATGCAGCAAACACACAGAGTTGTAAATGTGAACTGGTAGATCGATAAGAAGATAATGCATTATAACAATTTAAATAATTAAGCCAGTAAAGTTATGTTATATATAGTTATGTTATTTAATTAATATAATAATTAATTGATGATAATTGTTTAAATTAATATAATAATTGATACTTTTGACTTTTGTTTCAGTTTCTTAAAAATGGTTTAAAAAACGTTTGTTTTTGTGAAAACCTGTATCTGAATTCTTTATGCTCTGTTGAGTATGATTTCACTAATAATAAACATACATTTGTGTAAAGCATCCATATTTGTCCATGCCCATGATGATTAGAGTATTAAAAACGTGAAAAGTATTAATTTACGGTACATTTAGAACAGATAAAAATGTGCGATTAAGTTGCGATTAATCACGAGTTAAAGAGTGAAAAATTTAAGGGGGTCTGAATACTTTCCGTACCCACTGTATAAATAAAAGCTTGTTCAGAAATGGTGACAAAAACTTGATTATTAAAAAATAACGTCTTTTTTTGTTAAACGTTATTTAAATAAACGAATATTTGAATATTCATTTTTTATGATCCCAAATATTCAAATATAATATTTTTGAAAAATGCCCATCCCTAATGGACAGAACCACGTTACTACCCTACTGTTTTTCAATAATCTGTTTCACTCAGATGTACTGTACGTCGCAACACAGGAGAAAAGTTCTGTCGCTACTTCCGCTACATCATGACTTTAACCTTTTTTTCCCTTTAACGCTGCTCTTCATCATTCACTCTCTCTGGTGTTAATTTAAAAGATAATGTGTCGTGTTCATAGTACTTAGGAGAATGAACTAGAGTATGAAGGACTGTTTTGGTGTAATGTGTTGATCTAAAGTGTGCTTCGCTCAGACGTTTAGCCTGCAGGTAATTGGTTCTCATTGATCTCTGTATTTGACTGAAGTGAGTTCATCTGTCTTTCTCTCTGCAGTATATTCACTCAGCAGACATCATCCACAGAGTGAGTAGACCACACTTTCTGTTCATTACTTCATTTATTTATGAGCAATGTGAGGGTATTACTTTTTAAATAGTCTCTAGTGTTGTTTTAGAGTCATATTTTGGAAGCTAAAAAAATATATATTTTATTTTCCAGGTATTTTATTAAATATTAAAGTTTATGGACATTATATAATTAATAAAATATCTGGGAAAAACTACAGAGATCCTACTTTATAAATTCACTTCAGAGATTAATTTATTCAATTTCTGGCTTAATCACTATATAGAAAGAATAGTTCTCCCAAAAAAATGAAAATTTGCTGAAAAATGACTCGCCCTCAGGCCATCTAATATGTAGATGAGTTTGTTTCTTCATTGGAACAGATTTTGAGAAATGTAGCAGTACATCACTTGCTCACCAATGGATCCTCTGCAGTGAATGGGTGCCGTCAGAATGAAACAGCTGGTAAAAACATCACAATAATCCACAAGTATTCCACACCACTCCAGTCCATTAATTAATGATTTGTGAAGCCAAAAGCTGCATGTTTGTAAGAAACAAACTTAGCATTAGACATTTTAACTCTGGCCAAAATACCAGTCCATAATCCATAATAATGCTTCCTCCAGTGAAAAAGTCCATCTCCTGTTGTCCTCTCACATCAAAATCCACTGACACTGTTTTGGACTGTTTTTGCTTGTAAACGTTGCTTGATCTGTGCAGATTACTCTCCTGATTCAGAAGAGATTACTTTTTCACTGGAGAAAGCAATATTATAGATAGAGGACTCATATTTTAGCTGGAAGCAATGGTTTAAAGTTAAAAACGTCTTATTTGTTTCTTACAAACACAGCTTTTCCCTTCACAAGATGTTAATTGACGGACTGGAGTGGTGTGGATTATTGTGATGTTTTTATCAGCTCTCATTCTGACGGCACCCATTCACTGCAGAGCATCCATTGGTGAGCAAGTGATGTAATGCTACATTTCTCCAAATCTGTTCTGATGAAGAAACAAACTCATCTACATCTTGCATGGCCTGAGGTTGAGTACATTTTAAGCAATTTTTCATTTTTGGTGAACTGTTCCTTTAAGATGTGTAGGGATGGAAAGGCAAGTGATAACTTTAGACAGATTTGATTGAAACGTATAGCTGTCAGTACAATTTTTTTTTTTTTTTTCTCATTAGTCCAGAATGTGAGTTTTGTTGCCGGTTTTCCACAGGTAAACAGGTTTTAGGGTTTCATCTGCATCACTGCTTGTGTAAACACCTTTATGGTTTATAATGAAGGTTATTTCTGCCGTGACCTGATTTCAGCTCCCAGGATGACTTTTATTAGTTCATGAAAGCCATTTGTAGCAATACATGGAGTGATTCTCACTTACACCTTCTCTCTGCTCATCTTTTCCTATCATACAGGATCTTAAACCCAGTAACTTGGCTGTAAATGAAGACTGTGAACTTAAGGTGAGAGCATGGTAATCTAAGCTTGCTCTGATTGCCAAGAGCTCTGCCATCATCATCATCATCTGTTGCTTTTACACGGTCACATCTGTTATTATTATGCACTGTTGACCAACAGTAGGTTTATAATCACAGATTGAGCGCTGATAAGTCTAGTTTATGGCTAATGCTTGATCTGCTATCTGTGCTCAGATTCTGGACTTTGGACTGGCCCGGCTGACTGACGATGAGATGACGGGATACGTTGCCACCCGATGGTACCGTGCCCCAGAGATCATGCTCAATTGGATGCACTACAACATGACAGGTCAGGATTACCCAGAATTCTCACTTATGTATTGATGAATAAAAACAGCTTTTGTTTATATGTAATTTTTACATTTTCTAACTGAAGGCAACATGGAATAGCATTCAAAACTGAATAAAAGAATATTCACCTATTGTAGGATGGGATCTAAGATTATCTGTGAGGATATGATTGGATGTCTAAAAGTTGTTATTGGATGTTTAAAAGTAAAATGTTATTGATTGGTATTATTTTTCTCCATCCACGGGGTCTTGGTCACATTAGCAAAAATGCTTATACTTAATACCACAATATTGTTTTTTACATTTATTTTCATTGGCTTAATTCTTATTGTTAAATTTCTTCATTTTGATTGGCTGACACGTATTTATTGATTTTCTGCACAGCTCTGAATTGTGTTCCATGTTTGTTGATCGTTATCACCTCATTATATTCTTTTTGACTAGTTAAAATTTAAGTTTGAGTTAATGGGTTCTGTTTTTTTGGATGAAAACTTGGAATTTTTTATAAATATTTGTCTTTATATTAATATAAGTGGAATAATTATCTTGTCACAATTGGTGTGGTTGTTGTAAACAAAAACATTAAAAACTAATTTCAGTAATTGAAATAAAGCTTCTACATAAATTATAAGTATTTGATGCAAAACTTTGTGCTAACTTTGCGAAACTTGTGAAAATGAGACATTTTGCCATGGAAATGTTAAAATTACAAACTAAAACTGAAATAAAAAATGTGTATATATATATATATATTGGTGCTGTCAAACGATTAATCGCATCCAAAATAAAAGTTTTTGTTTACATAATATATGTGTGTGTACTGTGTATATTTATTATGTGTATATAAATACACACACATGCATGCATATATTTAAGAAAAATATGTTATGTTTATATATTAAATGTATATATATAATATAAATTATATGAATATAAATATATATACATGTAAATATTTTCAAAATATATAATGTATGTGTGTGTGTGTGTATTTATATATACATAATAAATATACACAGTACACACACACATATTATGTAAACAAAAAAATTTTATTTTGGATGCGATTAATCGTTTGACAGCACCAATATATATAATGAAAAGCACATACATTTTTTTTATAATTATTTACACTTAAACTTAAATTAAAACAAAAACTGAAAATATAAAAATAAAAGATAATTAAAAACTCCGTGCCACTGAATAGTTGAAAATGAATCCACATTGCAGCTGATTCACCACAGATTTACATATTTTCAGTAATTCAATATTCCAGTCAGTTGTTTCCTACTTGATGAAATATAAAACAATTTTTTTTTCATTAGAATAACAGCACTGATGAATTCTACACAGTAAGATTTAGGACATTTGTTAAGAGAGTTAATCTCATTTTGTCTTTAACAGAATGTATGTTGTTTCAGCGAATGAGAAGAGGGTTTTTGTTTTGTGTTGTAGTGGACATCTGGTCGGTGGGCTGCATAATGGCTGAGCTCCTCACAGGACGGACCTTGTTTCCCGGCACTGATCGTATCCTTTCCCCTTCATTCACCCCCTGACCCAAATCTCTCTTTCTGGAAACAACCTTTAGTCGTGTGACATTTTTTGGCATGCATTGCCCAAGCCCTCCCTACCTCCCTCTCTGCAAGTGTGAAGAAAAACACTTACGCGTATCAGCCAAATCTAATTCATAGAGAGGCAGCGATCCCGAGGGGAATGAGTCAGCTAGTGTCGGCCCACTGCCTCCCAGTGAGTCACACTTGCCTGATGGTCCTGTTGACAAAAAACATGAACTTTGCTCAGTCTTAAAGGACAAAGATTCTAGCACAGCGCGTGCCACTCTGGGAATTTTAATGCTTTGCTGCTTCTGTTCTAGTGTGTGAGGTCGAGTCAAGCCCCCTGTGAAAAATCCAACACATTCAGTCCACATTAAATGGAGTCCTGGCCTTTCGAGAGAGGAAATGTGATCTGCATTTCAAGGAAGTCTGCGAAAGAATAGATTAGGATAAAGTAGTTATTTGGTTGCCTAAACATGCAGATTATCTACTTTCTGTGTGCATTTACCTACTTTCTGTGTGCGTATGATAATATCTGCAAATTGGGTGTAGAATTTTTGGGTGCAGAATTGCAAGAATGAATACAATATTAGTTAAAACTCAGTTTGTGTTTAAATTATAGGTGGCACATTCACAAATGCACTGTGTGTCCCTACAACATAATTAGTTTGGCCAGGAATAAAACTGTCAATCATTTACTCACCCTCATGTAATTCCAAACCATATCATTCTTATATGCAATGCATTGTGTTTACTTAAACATGATGTTTTTGACATCAAGCAGTCTTATATTCACCTTATTTTGCAATCCAGAAGTAACCTATTGTCTCTGAATGTGCAAGACTTTGCGTAATAGGTAAATCACTTGAGGGGCAATAAATTACGGTTAACGGTAAAACTATTGGCGCTACAAACTAGTGTTTATAATTATGACAATACAATTAAAATGATAAGATAAGAAATACTCTCAGTCTCTCTGAAAAGCCTGCATCATACTTTCTTGTTTAAAAAATAATGTTAGGATCTCAAGGGAGGCAATTCAAAGACTATTTTTCACAACTGACACTACACAGTGTCTTGTAATCTTGTAATGTCATCTGTATGGTTCTGTTGATGGAGTAAACTTGTGTTTGCGTCTTTCTAGTATCCTCCTACTACAAGTGCGTATCAGTGGGCGGAGCTAAAAAGGCAGTGATGTAGAAGCAGGTGTTGATCTTCTCCTGCGGAGGCAGTGTTTAGCCACACTATTACGTCATAAAGTGGCACATTCCAAAACGAGTCATTTTCTCAGCTTGGTTTCAATAAAAGCTGTTTTTTAACTAACGAGAAAGTTCTGAGTTCTGAAACTTACAGGATGTTTTTATAGTACATTGACCTGTTATATATCAAAAGATCAAGGTAAATTTGATTTCTCAGTTCATGACCCCTTTAAATCAACACACACACACACACACACACATGCATGACCTGAATGTTGATTTGTTGCATTTATGCATGTTTCTAACTGCATGAATGAACTACCCCAATCTCTCATCTACTTGCTTGCGAACACTTTTTAGTCTTCATGCAGTGATACCCCTTTACCTTCATCAGCTTTTCACTTACATTTTGATGATTGTACGCGCTTTTTGCTAACACCCACCTTTGTCCGATTTGAACAGAAGTCAGTGTGGATCTGGACGTGTGTGTAGAACTAGCCCACTTTGCTGTAGCTCACACCTGCCTGTCACACTCAGTTGTTAAACATATTCACAAGTTTTCACTGACTGCATTTACGTGCATGAGAATATTCCAATATAAATCAGAATTTGGTCATATTCTGATTATGCAAGCAGCCATATTTCAATAATGTAGGCAAATTCCAATGTTGTAAACTTAATGTAAATGCATTAACTATAATTAGGATAAGCCAATATTTTGGTTTCTAGTAATCTGCATGTATTCATCAGAATTTTGGATCATGTAAACTTTTTAATTTTCGGAATATCCTCCGTAACTGAACATTATATATCACTTTTATATGTTATATCTCAAAGAAAGGTAATTCTTGGTGATATTACTGTAGGGTTCTGAAAAATTAATTGATGAAACACACTTTTGGAGATAGGAATTAACTATATATTAAATAAAATATATAAATATTAAATATATATCTATATACACTACCGTTCAAAGGTTTGTATGTAAAATGTTTTTGAAATGAGTCTCTAATGCTTACCAAGGCTGCATTTATTTGATCAAAATTACAGTAAAAACAGTAATATTGTGAAATGTTATTACCATTTAAAATAATAGTTTTCTATTTTAATATACTTTAAAATATAATTTTTTCCTGTGATGCAAAGCTGATTTTTCAGCATCATTACTCCAGTCTTCAGTGTCACATGATCCTTCAGAAATCATCCTAATATGCAGATTTGCTGCTCATTTACTGGTGATAATTTTTGAAAAGTTGAAAAGCGTTTGGAAATAGAACTCCTTTATAACATTATAAATGTCTTTATAGTCACTTTTGATCAATTGAATGCATCCTTGCTGAATCTCATATATATATAGAGAAAGAGTTATCAGAATAATATCTTAACCAGAATATGAAGAATAATCTGTAAACCAGAATAATCTGTAAATGATGTGCATGTAAATGTGGTCAGTGTCATGTACAGTTGTACAGAACACATCTGCCTGACACGCTGTTGCATTGACTCAGATTTTGTCTGCTGGAAGTGTACTTCGGTCAGGTAAGTGTACTAGCTTACATCTGCTGTGCCAACTCACTCAGTAAAACAATAGAGGAACCTGAGAAGTGCTGTGAGCTCCATTCATTGTTATTACAGAATGCATGTTGGCTTTGAACCAATCATGACTGCGTTATATTTCTTCCTTTATCCTATTTTCCTGTGCTGTTTTTATTCTTTTGTTAAACGATTACTTTTATTATTGTTGTTAAGTGTACTAGCTTACATCTGCTGTGCCAACTCACTCAGTAAAACAATAGAGGAACCTGAGAAGTGCTGTGAGCTCCATTCATTGTTATTACAGAATGCATGTTGGCTTTGAACCAATCATGACTGCGTTATATTTCTTCCTTTATCCCATTTTCCTGTGCTGTTTTTATTCTTTTGTTAAACGATTACTTTTATTATTGTTGTTCCCCCCCCCCCCAATCCCTGCTTTCATAGTCACCCCATTCCCTGCATTTTCCTTTATTTTGCTCTTAAAGATATTGATCAGTTGAAGCTTATCTTGATGCTCGTCGGAACCCCAGAGCCAGAGCTCTTGACGAAAATCTCTTCAGAGTCTGTGAGTTTTCTGTCCTGCCTGAGTTTGACTCCCTCCGTGTCGCAATGACGGCCTGGTGATCAGTTCTGCTTGCTTCAGTCACCCCGATCACACTTCATACTCATATCACATTATTTTTTCCCCTTCCTTATTCACCGGCATGGACTACTAGTTATGCAGTCGCCTTAAAATTAAGGATGTAACCATTCACTCCACTCACGATTCGATTAAATGTAAATGTAAATAACAAAACTAAACTGAAATTTTAAAACAAGCCCCAAATCAAATAAGTAACGCAAATAAAATTAATCTCTTCATATAAACAATATAAGGCTTTGTCTGTGCTCTTTCAATTTAAAATTAGAGGCAACCACTGCATTTTACATTACATTTAATCATGATCCAAACAAAGATACTGCATACATGCAACATGAGCAGTTTTTAATCTAAATTAGATTGTATAATTTCGAAATTTGAAACAAACGAGTGGTTTGACTTCAGTTTTGTGAAACTATACATAAATATCTGCATGAAACCGAAACAGCAGACGAGCTGAATGAGACGCAGATTCACTCTCTGCCAGTAGGTGGCGCTTAAAGTGTTTCCGCTGTAAACAAAGCAGCGCTGCACTTATGAACTTTAATATGCATTATACAGAGGCAAGATGAAAAGAAAAAATACCATCTAAACTTTTCTAAAGACAGTAAGTTCTACATTCACATAAACTCCTACCCCTAACTGAATCGCGATTTGTTTAGCATCTCAACCGATTTGAATCGATTTTCAACCGACTCGCGGTTAATCGTTACATCCCTACTTAAAATAGTAAGTTGAAGTCAGATGATGATGGCAGATGATTTTGCAAAATCAGCCCACGCTTACGAGTGCATAGCAATGGCTTTCTCAATCCTCACACTTCCTGTTACATTTCCTGTGTCTTTTTCAACACTAGATTGATTCACATGGGATGCATGGGTCTAATCTAACACAGTGTGCATTTGTGTTGCCTCTCCTCCTCTTCCTGTCCTGTTTTTCTCTTTCTTAAATCTCGGCATCAAGCCGCAACGATGGTCGCATTGTTTTCCTGTTTTAGCACTCCTATTGGTGAGTGTATTTTATCGTACAACCCTTGACCTGGGTTCCCCAAGATATAAACCAGCTTCAGCAGATAATGCGACTGACGGGAACCCCGCCAGACTCTCTAATAAGCAGCATGCCGAGCCACGAGGTGAGAACGAACCCCTTCTGAACCCCATGGTCCACGTCTGGCCGTAGAATGTCACAGAAAATCCTCCAGACCCGGGCCGCTCTGGAACAAGTGACTACGTTTCCCCTATGTGACTCTTTTCTGTTTGCAATGGGTCGTTTTTGATTTTCCAAACCCCTCCCAACATCCCTCTTTCCCAACTTCTGCCTGCTTTTCGTATGCAACACGTCTGATCTCATTTCCGCCCACTGCAGTCCTTACGGTTCACTGCAAGGCTGTGCTTATAGGCATATACCGCTACTCTTTTTAAACACAGGCATGCAGTGAGTTCAGACTGCTTAAGCTCTAACATAATGTTCTGTGCAGTAAACCAAAGCCACAGTGTTTGTTTAACATTGTCCACTGGAAAACACTGAACAAGATCGAGATGAACATTTCAGCAGAAATCTGATGTTAATGGAAGAACAGAAATCGACCCAAAGAATATTTGCACATTTTTTAACCCGTTAGGTCAATGCATTAGATATAAAATATCAATAGAGTATTGCAGTGATGATGTATTTTTGTTGGCCGTACACAATCTTAAAAAAAAAAAACATGTTTTCATAATGTGACTATTTTCTCTCAGTGTAAATTGTTCTTTTATATATATATATATATATATGAGCATATTTAGCTGCCTTTTATATTTTATAATTCCGAATGTTGCTTTTTGAGTCTATGTCCTATGTTATCCGTTCTAGCTGTGGACCTACTGGAGAAGATGCTGGTTCTGGACACAGATAAACGGATAACTGCATCACAGGCTCTCGCGCACCCGTACTTCTCCCAGTACCACGACCCGGACGACGAGCCCGAGGCAGAGCCCTACGACCAGAGCTTCGAGAGTCGCGAACTGGACATCGAAGAGTGGAAACGTAAGCCTGCACCATCTAGATCTCGCAGGGAAATGACATTTTATTGACCAACCTCTCCATGATGTGACAGTTGCGCTTTTAACAGTCTGTCTGTCCACAGAGCTCACGTATGAGGAGGTGATCAGCTTCGAGCCCCCCGTGTTCGACAGAGACGAGATGGAGTCATGAAGGCTGCTCGACCTACAAGACCTTCATCCATACAGGAAAATGACATTCAAGTGCCTGCCATCATCAAGTGCTGGCTTCCCACTGTGTTCTGAGCCTGCTTATCCATGCCTTCATACACGCTCTGTCGAAAAAGGGAAAAAAAAAACAGTGCAAACTTTCAAAAAGGACACCGAGAATGTAAGGTTTTGTGTCTTGTGACCCAGTAATTTAAAGGGATAGTTCACCCAAAAATGAAAAATTTTGTCATTTACTCGCCTTCATGTTGTTCCGAACCTGTGAGAGTTTCTTTCATCTGATGGACACAAAAGAATATTTTGAAGAATGTTGGTAAACAAACGAATTTTGGTATTTTTTCCATACTATGGAAGTCAATGGCTACCAGCAGCTGTTTGGTTACCAACATTCTTCCAAATCTTGTTCAACAGAAGAAACTCATACAAGTTTGGAACAATTGTGACCCTGGACCACAAAATCCAGTCATAAGGGTCAATTTTGAAGCTGAAAAGCTGAATAAATAAGCTGTCCATTGATGTATGGTTTGTTAAGATCGGACAATATTTGGCTGAAATACAACAATTTGAAAATCTGGAATCTGAGGGTGCAAAAAAATCTAAATATTGAGAAAATCGCCTTTAAATTTGTCTAAATGGAGTTCTTAGCAATGCATATTACTAATCAAAAATTCAGTTTTGATATATTTATGGTAGGAAATTTACAAAATGTCTTCATGGAACATGATTTTTACTTAATATCCTAATGATTTTTTGGCATAAAAGAAAAATCGATAATTTTGACCCATACAATGTTTTTTTGACTATTGCTACAAATATCCCCCAGCGACTTAACACTGCTTTTGTGCTCCAGGGTCACAATTTGAGGCTGAGAAAATGACAAAGTTTTCAATTTTGGGTGAATTGACTACTTTTTGTTTTTGGCCAGAACACTTGAAATTGGAGAAAAATATGTATTCTCATTCAAACGCAATCAGTCAAATTCATAACAGCATTTTAAGCTCACAGTTTAATATTCTTTTTTTTTAGGGAAGCCAGACATTTGCCTCCGAGCTCCGCTTGTAGTCTATACAACAAATAGAGGCCAGAAAAACTCAAGTACTGTCAGAATACTAAGTTTTAGATATGTAAATAAAATGGCACTGCTGTACATAAATGATAATAATGTGCAGCAACAGTTTTCTTTAGTATTTGCTGCAGAGTACACATCACGGAATGTGATCTGCATTATAAATGGCAAATGAACGAACTTCAGAATGAATCCTAAAGAGAATGTAATTATTATTTAGTGCTCTGTGTAGAATGTAAACAGAGGAGTATATCGACGCAGTGATCTTCTGCCGTCTGTCAATAATAGATGACAAAAACAGTAATAAATGCTGTTTATATGAATGAACGCAGATATGCCTGTTCTGAAATCTATTGGAAAATGTTTAGAAAAACACATGGTGTTCAGTGCTAAAGTGAGAATGTACAGTTCCCCATAATGTTCTTACATATAAAATGGTATGGGCGAATCTCACAAAACCTCTCCAGAGCATAATTAACCAGAAAAACAGAGGACAAAAATTGTTCAATATATTTTAAAAATAAAGACACATGGCAATAATTATGTTTGAGAATCAATAATTATTATTTATATACTGATGATTTGTTCATTTTACTCTGTACACCCAGTGATTATTACCAGAAAATAAAAAAACTCAATTGTCATTGCTGTAATGCAGTGAATAAAACTGTGACATGTAATTTAAATGATAAATCATTTATCCATCATGATAGTATTTGTTATACAGCTTTTATTCTATATAGATTTACAATTGGAAAAAAAAAAAAAAAACTGTAACACTGTATTACAGTAATGAGACTCGCCTTTCAAAAAATGGTCATGAAAATCAAGTCAAAATTTTAAGGTTTCTAAAGATAGGCTTCCTTTTTCCTATCTATAGAGTTATTTTTGACTTTGCGATTTGGACATGTTTTTGGCTGGTTCGCCTGATTTTCTGCCTGTTCTTCAAAGGCTCGCTGTTCCCTTCACTCCATGTTAAAGGGCTGCTGATGCAGTTCCTCCCCTCATTCATTTATTAGTTATGTAAATTGAGAGAAATGGGTTTAAAACGGGGATCTGCGCCTTTGCGTTACGGGCATCCCGAGTTCGAGTCCTGGCTTGTGGACCTTTCCCAATCCCACCCCTGTCTCTCTCTCACCCACTTCGCTTCCTGTCGACCTACTGTCCTATCTAAATTAAAGGCATAAAACGGCAAAAATTAATCTTTAAAAAAAAAACAAAGGGGGATCTGGATTTAACAGGAAGTTCCTGAAAACAGAACAGCTCTGCGAGCGAGACCCAGCTGCATTATGGTCCACGGTAAAGTAGTTCCCCTTTATTTTTGCTTGCCCTGGGAAAGACGTACAGCCAGAAAGTTCATGTTTGCGAAAATGAACGAACCTGAGCCAATATTCTGCTTTTCCGTTGAGCACGACGATCTTAATTTAACAGCCCAGACTAGAAGACTGTCTCATCAGGAATGTGTTTTCATAAGCAGTGCCGGCATCTAACTTATTGTATCAGTTGTTTAAGATTATTATTATTTTCACTGTATATTATCACTTAATTTTATTCAGCAATATTTTCTGTGTTGAGCATGTATTGTTATATGTGAGGGGTGGGGTTGTTTGTATGAACATTTACAGTTTTCTGACGAGTGCACAATCACTAAACGTGCCAGTCAGTGGTGCATCGAGCAGCGAAATCCATTAAACGTGGTTTATACTTCATTTTGTTGCATGGAATCCATTTTTCATGGAAAAGAGATTATTGTTTTTTGTGTGTGCATATAACCGTTTTTTCTTCAGTGGCACACAAGTTATGTGGTCTGTGAACAACCACTGCTATACAGGAATAAAAGCAATTATTTTTCACAACATTCCTTCTTTGGTATTTCTTTTGCACAAAAATACAAGGGATTATGTAAAGTTGCATCTGTGCAAACAATTTTTATTTTTTTTGGAAAACACTGCCATCAAGTGGTAATACTCACTCAAAATGCCTGAAGCAAGTGTGTTACATAATAAACATGTATTGCAGATTACCACAAACCACTGCAATTCTTAATATGAGTCATCATTTATGAAATAATCACTCACTGACATATTTTCTTTTAACCTCTGGTGACACCAAAAGCTCAGGAAACTCAAAAATGGAGTAAAATATGTCTGCAGAGGAACACTATTTGTGTTTAAAGTCTTTGGTACAGAAATCTATTGAGCATGTTCATGCTGTTGTAGCCCAGGGCAGAAAAAAAGATAGAAATAACTGAACACATTTTGACAGTTTATGACAACATGTCCCATTATCAGAGCATGCAGGTGGGGTCAGTTGTCACAATGGGAAACCATACTTATTGACACTGAGGGGAGGGGGGACACTCTGGTGTTGCTGTAAAAAATGTTTTTATTTCAATAAAATAAATGTACTATATTTTAGTTCTATAATGTTTTTCAATTTAATATTTTGTATTTTCAAGTGATCTTATGGTACTAAATTATATTTATGTAATAATTATGATCCATTTATTACCTGTTAACCACTTTTTGAGCATAGACCTGAAAATGTAATTTCTGTCATAAATCTTGAATGCTTTGGACTTGCAGTGGTTCCCAACACTGGTCCTGGAGGCACTCCAACACTGCACATTTTGTATGTCTCCTTTCTCTGACGCACCATTTTCAGGTCTTGAAGTCTCTACTAATGAGCTGATGACCTGAATCAGGTGTGTTTGATTAAGGAGACATGCAAAACGTGCAGTGTTGGGGTGCCTCCAGGACCAGTGTTGGGAACCACTGCTTTGGAGCGCAGAATTAAGTTTGGTCACTTTTTAAAGAAGACACTTGGCAGGTTATTGTTGAAGTGAAAAAAAAAAAAAGATAAACTGAAAAAAATGATAGAAGTTTAAGTTTGTTATAATTAAACATGCACAAAATACTATTTTTAAATGTTATTTGAAATATATTTTCGAAAACTGCGAGAAAACCAAAGGCATAAATCTAAAGTTGTGTTCCAAATTTGAAGTTGAAATCGCAAAAATTCAATATTTTTTCAGGACCATTTATCCTTTTTGAATCATGTCCATGATTTTGTGTGTGTATTCCTACATTATGGGGACTGAATGTCCCCACAAAGATAGAAATACCAGTTAATTTTGACCTTGTGGAGACATTTGTTAGGTCCCCATGAGGAAACTAGCTTATAAATCATACAGAATTAAGTTTTTTGACAATCTAAAACTGCAGAAAAGGTTTGTGTGAGGAGTGGATTTAGGGTAAAGGAATACAAAATAAAAAAAAATGTTTTACAGTATAAAAACCATTACATTTAATGAATGTCCCATAACATGGAAACAGTATGTGTGTGTGTTCACATAGCAAGTGCCAAACCATTACAGAGTTTCATACCATTACAATTAAGTAAAAAAAATAAAAGAAGAGCCCCAGAGGGATTTTAAAAAACGTGTTATTGTCTATTTAATGGCTTTTTTGCTGATTGTTTTTTTTATGTTCAAGGACTCATGTTTCTTGTGTCTGAACGATTACAGACAAATCTGAAAAATATCACACGTGTTTGTGCTTTAGGAGGTTATTATATGAGGCTATAATGTTAGCTCTAAACTGCTGGATGATACAAGTTATTAAAATGGTAGGAGTGGGGTAATTTGAGCCAAAGGTCCTGGTGTAAGTTGAGCCAGTGGCTTGTTTATGAAAATTAGCCATTAAAGTTTTTTATGAAATTGTATTTCCCTGCAACACTTATAAGTGCAATGTTGAGTACTATTAGCCCAGTTCTGTTGCGGTGTGTGTGTGTGTTTTTTTTATTCTTCAATTTGAACTTTTTGTTCTGAAATTTTAAAATAGCTTAATTTAAGAATGCCTTCAAAGTTGTGAACTGTACCTTTAAATGAAACTTTTAAGAAGTCATCCATTCTATTGTCCAAACCTCTTTGTTCTTATTAAGTTCGTGGGGAGCTGGATCCTTACCCAGCGTCTTGAGCCACAGGCTTTAGAAACTCCCTGGATGAATGGCCAGTCCATCACAAGGCTCACACATGGATTTTAAGAAGTCGTTTTTATTAAATTCCTCTTCCTGTGATATAGCATGAGGTGAAAAAGTTTTACTTCAGCATAATCAGTGGCACAGTTTAACTCCATGTGGCTCAACTTACCCTCTCCCTAGGCTAATTTACCCTCACTGGGGGCAAGTTGAGCCAATAGAACATTGGAAAGCCATATTTTAAAAGCAGTTTATTTTAGACCCAAAGTGATTATTCCCAAGGAGGCACCACATCCTGAAATCTATGTACATATTTAAGTTGTACCCATTACTGTCATGTGCTCGCTTTAAACACTGTGTAAGTAAAAACTGGCTCAACTCACCCCGCTCTCCCCTATACGCAAGACTGGATGGTCCCTTGTTTACCCAATAGCTAATAAACCAACATCGACTTTTGACTCGGAACTTTGTGACAATGGTGTTCAATGGTGCGTTCGTGTAATGGTGCGTTCAAGTCATGTCAGACAGATCGTATTTACGAGTTGAGCGCACATGAACGCCACCACAAAGTCGTTATTACGAGTGGGAAACTCGAAATTTTCTTTAAGCCCCGAGTTTCCGAGTTGGGTGCATGTCAATGAGAAACATGGCGGAATCGATGGATGCAACTTCTAGTTGACGGTAAATTTTTGTTTAAATTGATAGTTTAGTTGTCCTATAAACTTAAACCGGTCATGTTCTTTTTACGCAGCTAGTTAATGAAATCCAAGTAAAAAAAACGCAAAACACACCTGATGCGAATTCTTTGCTCTTCATTTTCTATAAGCAGAGTTAACAGACCCTTGTATGTTCTTGTAATTTATTAAAAGAAGGTACACCACCGACTAAACTGACTTGAACGCACCTAACGTCGTAATTACGACTTAAGTACGAATGTCCCAGGAGGACTTGAACGCAGCATAAAGGCGGGCGTACACGGAGTGATTTTTGCTGTCGTACAAGCTCGCAAACTATTTTTTTCTCTCGGGAGAAAATCGCAGACGCTCGCATGGTCGCGGCTCGTACCGTGTGAGAAGAATTACGGGCCGATCCGAGACGTTACGAGCACCTCCCGTCCTCCCGATAATTTTCAATCATGTCAAAAAAAATCGGATGCTGCCGGTTTAAATTCGTGGCGTATGTGCAGTTGAACGAGACGATTTGGCGATCCATCTGAAGTTGACCAATCAGAAGATGACAAAAACCATATAGTCTATAATAATTTTAGTTTAATTATACTGTTCTATTATTTATTTGTTATTCCGAATGTGCCAAATTTGCCGTTCAGCTTTATGAATGAATATGCCTGTTTTATTTCCGGCAAAACGAGCAGAAATCCAGAAATGGCCTACTCCCTCGAGTTCTTTATGAAGAACAGAAAGTCCATGCTTTTCAGCCATTCTCTTTGCCATGTCATTTGTCTTCGTTTTTTGTTTTTTTTGGACGTCACAAGCCGCCTGCCACAAAGAAAACGATTTTGTCCTCAGAATCCATATCTTTACGAATGGCGTGAAACGTCAGAGTTTGTCAAATCGTAGTAAATTCGTGTAGTGTGTGACTGCCTGCGTACGATTTTCGGATTTATAAACTCAATCGTGACATGTGCCACAGCTCACGACGTTCCGACCTTCAGAATTGCACCGTGTACGGCCGCCTCTTTGGTTTTGAGACTTTAGTCTTTGCAACTTCAGGGATCTTATCTATGCACAATCAGCTTGTAACACTCCAAAGAGAAAGGAAAACTTGAAATCGCATCATATGACCCCTTTAAGTAAGTACATGTGGGTGTGACAGCGTTATTTTTACGGCGGTGAAAAGCACGCGAATTCTGAACCATTTGGCGTTCGATACAGCGTCGCGTTGTTGTTGGGGAAGTTTAGTGCGCATGCGCAGACCGTTACATGTGAGTGAATCTGAGCACTTAGCCGCCGGTGCAGCATGGAAAGGAAAGGTGAGCATCAAAACGACCGAACTGCTGTCCTCCTCGACAGTCTGTAGCGACAGCGTTCGTGTAAATCGAAATAAACACAGCATCCCGTCTGAAGCGTATCTGTGTTGTGGACGTAGGCGCTGTGAGATTCACCAGTGTGTGCTGATAGAGACAAAAGCGCGTGTGTTTAGCTGCTGCTAATATAACAGAGCTGCTGCTTTACAGGAGCATCTGCTCATGTTGCGCTGTATATCAGGAACGCGGGCGGTTGTTGTTTAGTTCTCAGTTTTTTCAGCGTGTTTCTGATTGTAATCGATGTTTGTTGCGTGTTTTCTGCGACCTCGTTCTCGTGAGCCGTTGCTAGCTGAACCTTCTCTTGTTTTGGTTCGACTCACGATGTTGCGCGTAGATGTGTATTTTAATCAAAGTAAGTCAGTGCTGTGGAAACAATTCTGTTGTTTGTGTCAACAAAATGCTAACCGTACAAACTGATAAAGCCGTCAAAAACTTAGAAATGAATCTATTTAGATATTTTGCTAACCGTGGTTACCGCATAAATGCCACATTACTGTCTACTGAAAAAGCCAAATGAATTGTGAGGTAAAATGGTAACGTCACGATATAATAATCTTTTAGCCTACTTAATATTATTATTATTTTTTTTAATGACCATTGTAGTATCCGTAGTAGTGTGGTATCTTGAAAACTATGATTACCAAGTTTTGAAAATTGTTTTGTGGCTACATGAAAATAATGACTCAATACCGGTCTCTTAGAGATATTACTTTTAGCTGTAATATAGAAGACTAATAAGTTTAGTTGTAAAAGTGTTTACCTTAATCCTGGGACCCAGGCATAGACTTTTGTCCTCTGTAGAGGACATTATATTTTAGTGTATTGCTTGGAGACCATTCAAGTCAAGTTTATGGATACATATGCTTTTCTGGATACAAATCGTTGCAAAGCAGCTTTACAGAAAATTAAGTTTCTACAATGTTTAGTGGTAGCTTATCAGTGGTGACTGTCAGTTAATGTACATATGGCAGAAATGTACGGAAAAATCAATTTAAGACGTAATAAAACAGACGATGAACACCATTAACAGCAATTATTATATGATGCAATCAAACTTATAGCTAAATGTGGTAGTCTGTATGTTGTTTCAGGGTTGGCATCGTCTGAGGTCCTCTGAGGGGTTGGCATCATCTCTTCTCAGGTGTTCTGGTTCCAGACTGAAGCAAAAACAGAGAAACAAATAGAGACATAATTAGCGTAGCTGCTGTTCCAACCAAGCAAAAGTGATTTGTTTAACACAAACTAAAGACTAATAATGTGCATTTGATCAGATATAACTGGAGTACAAGATTACGAGATGCATTATTTGAATGCTTGGCCAAAGAGATGTGTCTTTAATCTAGATTTAAACAGAGAGAGTGTGTCTGAACCCCGAACGTTATCAGGAAGGCTATTCCAGAGTTTGGGAGCAAAATGCGAAAAAGCTTTACCTCCTTTAGTGGACTTTGCTATCCTAGGTACTACCAAAAGTCCAGAGTTTTGCGACTTTAGGGAGCGTGATGGATTGTAGCGTGGTAGAAGACTAGTTAGGTACGCAGGAGCTAACCCATTAAGGGCCTTATAGGCAAGTAATAATATTTTGTAACTGATACGGAACTTAATAGGTAGCCAGTGCAGAGACTGTAAAATTGGGGTAATATGAGCATATTTTCTTGACCTGGTAAGGACTCTAGCCGCTGCATTTTGGACTACCTGTAGCTTGTTTATTGAAGATGCAGGACAACCAGCTAGCAGTGCATTACAATAGTCCAGTCTAGAGGTCATGAATGCATGAACTAGCTTTTCTGCATCAGAAACAGGTATCATGTTTCGTAACTTGGCAATGTTTCTAAGATGGAAGAATGCTGTTTTTGTAACATGGGAAATATGATTTTCAAAATACATGTTGCTGTCTAATATAACACCCAGATTTTTGACTGTAGAGGAAGTAACCGTACATCTGTCTAGTTGCAAATTGTAATCCAAGAGATTCTGTGTACTGTCTTTTGGTCCAATAAGTAAAATCTCTGTCTTAGCCGAATTTAATAGGAGAAAATGATTGGTCATCCAATCTTTTACATTTTTAACACACTCTGTTAGCTTGGATAATTTAGACGTTTCATCTGGTCTTGAGATATATGGAGTGTGACTGTTTGAGGTTGTGGACAGGTGTCTTTTATACTGATAACGAGTTCAAACAGATGCCATTAATACAGGTAACCAGTGGAGGACAGAGGAGCCTCTTAAAGAAGAAGTTACAGGTCTGTGAGAGCCGAGGAATTTTACCGAGGAATTTACCAATTAATTCTTTAAAAATCCTACAATGTGATTTTCTGGATTTTTTTTCCTCATTTTGTCTCTCATAGTTGAGGTATACCTATGATGAAAATTACAGGCCTCTCTCATCTTTTTAAGTGGGACAACTTGCACAATTGGTGGCTGACTAAATACTTTTTTGCCCCACTGTATATTTGAGTATCACCAGCATACATGTTTTTTAAATCGGACTGATTTTCGAATTGTGTGTCACAAATGAACATCTCAGGAACTTTAGTGGGGTTTTCGAAGCAGAATAGGGCTTTCTGTTGTGAGACATGCATCGATTTCATACATGTCCTCTGTAGTGGACACCAGGACATCCTTCATGCTTATCAGGCACTTTAGGGAGACATAATAAGTAAAACATTATATATCAATATTTGTATGAAATACTATGTTATATGACAATGTTGCTAAGTTATTACTCTCATTATTATACTTTTGTCATTACATGTTGCCCAAAGAACACATTAATATGCAAATTAGAGACATAATAGGAAAACCCATTTTTTGGCCATGTTTACAAACATATTGTGTAACGTAAAATAGTATATCAAATCATTCTCTAGTATCTTTCATACCACAGCTGAGAATCTTTGTGCAAAGTTTGGTTCAGGTGGAAGTTTCCTGGAGCTGTCGAATTCCTGAAAACTGATTTCCATTAAATGCCTATTAAATGCAGGCACTAGTGTGCATACAAAATGCAAAATATAACATTCGCTAAACATCTTTTTCCAACATTATTATCATATCCGTTTTGCAGAGGACCATAAGGCTGGGTATCGTTCAAAAATGTTCGATATCAATACTGATACCTTGACTTTGTTAACAATTCCTGAACGATTCTTTTTTCGATACCAATTTGATGAAATCCGTTTTAACAAGATTACAGTACACATTACCTCAAAAAACATTTTATTTTTTCAGCTTGTTGAGGTTTTTACAGACTCAATGACTGATCTCCTGAGCCACTGCTCAAAGGAACAAAATATAACCAACAGAATAAATCAGTGCAAATAGTTTAAATAAAGTTCAAATTGTTTTCAGTTTACACATCTTTTAGGCTATGTTCACACTAGTGCGTTTTCATTTTAAAATCATCATTTCTATTCATTTTCCACTGATTTACTGATGAGCATTAGCAGCTTCCAGCGCTGTCTCACTGTTTTCTCTTCCACAATCGTTGTTCTGACTCCGAGGAAGCTCATTCGCAGCTCATCTGTTAATCATATTATGTGTTTATATCCTGCCCTTTCTCTGATGATGAATGTCCATTACACTTCCGCGTTCAGTTCTGTACTGTACATAAGAAACCCAGGAAAACATTTCTACGGATGAAACATGAAGCTAATAAACACATGATTACGGCGGTGTATGATTTGTAGAGGTCGACTGATGGATCAGTTTTGCCGATTAATCGGCACCGATAGTTGATTGCTGGAACTATCGGTTATCGTCAAAAATCCATGCCGATAGTTTTCCCGGGTTGCGTCCATTGCTGGAGCGGCTGAGACGGATCTGCTGTCATTATACAGTGCGAGAGCGCCCTCTAGTGGTTGAAATCATTGACAGCACGTGCTATTTGTTTAGACACGTGATACTGCACGCTGAACAGAGCGGGAAACTTCAGACGCGGATTTAAATGCAGCCGACAGAAAATCCTGCCGCGCCATTCACATAGTTTTCCTTTAAATTACATTATATTGGTCCCGAATCGTTGTTAATGTACATAATGAATTGTGTATTGTGCATTTTCAGCTAAATGTTTGTCTTTCTGTGGCTCTAATAAAGTCTGTGTGCTTCATTTATAGAGCTATAATATAGGTCGCGCTTTCTCTTTCCGTTTGCTCCATTTTTTTTAAATGCCGAACTTCAAACTCATGATACCAAATTGTTAATTCTTGAAGTAAACTTGTGTCTGTTTGGTGATTAAATAAACTGTTTTAGACCGCTGCTCGAGCTGAACGCGACGCGTCCGCAGTGTGTGGGATACCGGCGAGTTCTCCAAGACTCAGCTCTGCGCTTTTATTTTGATTAGATAATCATCAAGTGTTCAAGAATAAAAGCAGTTCAAGTCTGAGAGTATACATACAATATCCGTATATATATAATTTTAATGCTATAGCCTTTGTGTATATATTTAAAGATGTGCATCTTTAAGCATGACAGTTGAAATAAAATGGTAACACTTTAAAATGAGTCCATTTGTAGCATTAAGATTAATGAAAGCTGTGTAAGTATTGTTCCTTGTTAGTGTGTTAATTTCAACATTTACTATTACTATTATTATAATTATTTTTACTACTACTACTAGTATGGTTCAGTACTGGTTTTGTTAATAAAGCACTATTTTAGTTTTTATTCAGTATCAATTTTAAAACAATCGGTTAATTAATCGGTATCGGCCAGTGTGGTCCAACCTAGCTATCGGTATCGGCAAAATCCACTATCGGTCGACCTCTAATGATTTGTATTTATTTTCATGACATTCTGCCTATTTTCATAACAGTACCAGGTGTTTACATGAGAAATGCTAAGAAGGTGTAGCGATTAGTTTGATATAAAAGTAGAGGTGTGCAATATGATGATTTTTTTGATCGTGGACAATTAAAATGTCTCACGATCTGCTTTTGAAGAAATATCATAGT